GCGAGTTTAGTTGGAAATATATAAATGGAATGACTCGTCAATTTTAATATATTCAAAGTTTTGAAGTGAGATGTCAAATCGGATCGGGTACGCAGTACGCAGATTGATGATTTCTCCATTATCCGTAACACTGGTATCAGTCTTTAAAAAAGAGAATAAAAGGTGTCAAACATTGAAATTGATATTTATGTGATTTACTTTAAAATTATTTATGTTCTTATAATTTTTTTTTTACTTATGTCCTTATAATTTGTAAAAAGATAAAAACCACAGAGATATATATAATAAAAAAATATATATCATTTTGCAAATCACAGGAACATGTATAATAAAAAATAAACCATAAGGACATATGTAATTTTGGAGTAAACCACATAGGTATTGGTGAGTTTTTCCCAATAAAAAAACTAACTAGAATTCAGAACCGTACTGTCCCCTTTTTCAGAATAATATACTTGAATATCACGGATTGTAAAATTTTTTCCAAACAACCATAGTACCATAGTCGTTGAGATTCTTAGCTATTATAGATGGGACACGTGTTACTCCCCTCGTGGCTGGAAAAGCCTCGCAGGCTTGATTGGTGTTGATTGTCCACATTTCAATAATAGGGCCATAGTAGCAAATGTTCTAGCAACTAAGGACATCAAAGTAGCTACAAAAGGTTGAATGATACACGCATCACTCATTTGGCAAAAATAGCCGTGTTCTGCAGTGAGCATGGGCTACTTTTTCTTAATTGGCACGCCTATGGGATAATTATCATTTAAATATATAAAAAATAATTATTTAAATATATCATTTAAATATCCTATACTATTTCAAGTCCCCAAAAAATAATTTTTCTGAATTGCAGGCCTATAAAAAAAATATCATTTAAATATCCTATATTAAGAAAAAAAAAATCATTTATCCTAATATTTCAAGTGATAAATGATATTTAAATTATTTATTTTTTTCTCTTAGTATAGGATTAAACAATAGGTTAATTGATATGAATTATTTTTCTTAAAGGAATTAGTTTAGTTAAAGTATAGGATACTTAATATTATATTTTTAATTTCAAATTATAACTATAAATGAATTTTATATTGCATTAAAAAATTTGTGTTGTATATATTTAATTTAATTATAATTATTTTTGGGGACTTGAAATATTAGGATAAATGATATTTAAATTTTCTCTTAGTATAGGATATTTAAATGATATATTTTTTATAGGCCTGCCAATTCAGAAAAATTATTTTTGGGGACTTGAAATAGTATAGGATATTTAAATGATATATTTCAATAATTATTTTTTATATATATTTAAATGAAAATTATCCATAGGCCTTTCAATTCAGAAAAAATAGTCTATAGTCGCTGCAGAACACGGCTACTTTGGCCAAATGAGTAAGATAGCTACTTTGGTGTCCTTAGTCGCTGGAACATTTGCTACTATGGCCCTGTCATTGACACGTGGGCAATCAACATCAACCAGGCCTGCAAGGCTTTTCTAGTCACGGGAGAAGCGACACGTGTTCTGTCCATAGTAGCTCAGAACCTCAGCGACTATGTTGCTGTGTCAGTTTGGAAAAAAGTTTGCACTTAGTGGCATTCAGGTATATTATTCTGAAAAAGGGGGCAGTATGGTCAATGTCCCGGACATTCACCTCGCTATCTTAAAACCCAGTTCGGATTGACTTGAGTTTCGGTAATCCAGTGTCTTTATTAGTTCAAATTGAGCATTAGATTGGTCATTTAGTCGAATTGGTATAAATCCGATAAATCAGTTATGACCCGTGGTTCAACCAGTACCAAAACTAGAGGTGGAAAAGCGGGCTGCCCTCCCCGGCCTGCCAAAAAGCGGGTTGGCCCGCCCCGCCCCTTCTTTGAAGATGGGTTAGATATCCGAGCATGCCCCGTCCCGTTTGGGCGGGAGGGGCGGGCTGCCCGCCAAGCCCGTGACATTTTACACTAAAAATTTTAAAAAAAAAATCAGCCCGGGCGGGCTGGCGAGCTTGGCGGGGCGGGCTTGGCGAGCAGCGGGTTTGAGAAACTCAGCCTGCCCCGCCCTGTTTGGCGGGCCGGCGGGCTCGACCCATTTTGCCAGCTCTAACCAAAACTGAGTTCAACCAGTTTTATGTTAAATTATGTAATATATATATATATATATTTTCCAAGCAATAAATTTCGAACTTGAATCCTCTTATTTGAGGATCAAAAGACTTACTAGTGGACCACTTTTATTTGTTGGACATGATGTTCATAATTTAATATTTATTATATATTATTTTGAAATTCGGTTGAATCTGATGACCCAGTACCTAGACCGAGTTATGTCAGTACCGAGTTTTAAGACACTGATTCACCCACTCAAAAGCAAATTATATTAGATTTTATTCAATTAAAGACGAGGGAGGTTATATTTACTATTTTTTCTTACTATTTCTTACTACTAATCTTGTTATCGTTGGATCAAAATCAAATCAACAATTTCCACTTGATATTACTTTTTAACCATTTGATCAAGCGATAATAAAGTTGGTAGTAAAAAAAATGGTAGTAAGTGTAACTTATCCCGTTAAATATATTATAAAATTTAGAATAAATACCATTTTTGGTCCTCGGCAAATTTCACGAAGCCCGCTTTAATCCCTAGAAAATAAAAAGGCCCATCGTGGTCCCAAATAAATTCAAAATGGACCCATTTAGTTGAAATCGAGGTCCCTCACAAATTCAAAAAAGACCCTTATTAGTCCTCAAAAGGACTAAAATGGGTCCATTTTGAATTTTTTTAGGGATCACGATGGGCCTTTTTATTTGCTAGGGACTAAAGCGGGCTTCGTGAAATTTGCTGAGGAGCAAAAAAGGTATTTACTCTAAAATTTATATATATATATATATATATATATATATATATATATATATATATGGATTTAGCGGATGTAAAGTGACTGCACCTAAGGATTAGTGCAATCATATAAAACTACGTCGTTTTATAATATAAAAGCATTAAATATGGGGAATAATAACCATACAAAGGTGGAAATAAATATAAAACATTAAATATTGGGAATCATAACCATATAAAGTTGAAAATAAATATAATATTTTTATTTTTTACAATTAATTTTAAATGCGAACTTCCTTTATCCCATCCAAAACGACGTAATTTTTAGGTGACTGCACCAATGCTTATATACAGTCACATTACAAATCATTTTGCCTATATATATATATATATATATATATATATAGTATACCATTATAAGAATACCGTTAATCTCCATTAATCAAACCATAATAATTGATTGAGTTAGTCTCATTAATTAATTATAAATTAAATTAAATTTTTAATCAATTATAACCGTTAAATATAAAAAATCAATGATTAAGATTGCGTATTATATATATATTAAGATTGCGTATTATATATATATATATATATGTGTGTGTGTGTGTGTGTGTGATCTGATCCTAACAGATGAGAGATTGAGGCCCAATCCAATAAAAGCCCAGAAGACCCAATGAACCTTGCGCGTTTGGTACGTGGCATTTTTTCTGATTCCCGGGAAACTGAATTTTTTAAAATTTTTAATTTTCAGATATTATCATAAACTGAATGTAAAAATCATATTTTTAAAAATCGAGATTCCCAGACAAAAAAAAAAAAAAATTCTCCTGTACCAAACGCCCCCAACCATGAAGTAATCCCATCCGCATCTAAAACGTGGGCATCTCGCCTGCTTGGCCTTGGCAAACAAGTCAAAAGTGACTTAGCGATTAAAACTACATCATAGTGAGATCACGCATCAGCTTGCCACCAGACCTATTGGAACTAGCCCAACTCTAGGCTTTTTGACCAAGGAATAGCCTATGAAAGATCATCATTCTCCATCAATGAAAAGAAACACCGCCCTATGAAAGACGGCATGAAGCAAGACATTCTACTATATAAATACCCAAGCATTCAGTCTGGATAAGATATTTCTCTTTGAATACTTGAACCATATTGAATTTTTAATTGACTCGAGTATCGGAGTGCCTTGAGGGTACCTCCACCAGTCTCCTCCAAACTGCCTAGACGTCAATCTCGCTACTTTCCCATCTTGCCAAGCAGCATAGCATCTCGTAAAACTATACTCACCTTCCTTCTCTTCATCAACATCCTCCATCCTCAACCGTGTGTGATTAGGCTCAGCCCAATATTTATTGGATTGATAAATAAATAAATAAATAAATAAATAATATATATATATATATACTATTTTTAAATTAGAAATATCAAATACTTAAAAAATTAACGAAAATTCAAATTCTATGCTCATGAAGTACAAGTCTACAACAAATGCAACCGCAATAAATGTTATTGCTTTTCTTATTATGAATTCGTCCACTCTCCCCATTGATTAACGTATATTTTTATAATAAAGTAATATTTTTTTAAAAAAAATTAAAAATTATACTTTGATTATAATTTTAAAAAAATTGAAAGATTAAAAAAAAAACTTTGATTTTAGTGATAAGAAATTTGTTCTCCTTAATTAAAGATTTCGACCATTCTAATATGAATACAATTGTGCTCAAATCAAATTAAATCGAATAATTAATGAATTGGTGGAAAAATTTAAAAAAAAAAACAAAAATCAAAGGCTAAAAAATAATTGTCATATAATAAAAATATCAACTTTAGAAAATTAATATGTAATAATTTGAAAGAACATTTTCAAATACATAGATATAGAATATAGTCTGAGAGATATAAATAAGAAAATAAATTATGCTGAGCTTGGCTGATTAAGGCAGGTGCTAAGGACAAAGTTTCCATAATTGCTTTGGAAATGTCACTACCGTTATGCTTTATTTTGGGGTGATTAGGACACAATGTAAATAACTTCAACATGTTCTCTACCTTTAAAAGTGTAGTAGTGTCTGGTATATCAGTATATATATATATATGCCATGTATATATGAAGCATAACTCAATCAGAAAAAGTTAAAGAAAAAGCATAGAGATGAGTTATTATCTTGCACTGTTTCTGATTCTCCTTCTTTCAATCTCATCATGTTCAGCTTCTACTTTAGTTGAGAAGAGTTTCAAGGAGTGCATGTTAACAAAAGTTAGTGGCTGTTCTGAATCCATTGAAAAAATAGTCCTAAGTTCATCCTCCTCACTATATCCACAAGTGTTGGATTCATCCCAACAAAATCCTAGATGGCTTAATTCCTCAAGAAAGCCTCTTCTCATTGTAACACCTTTGCATGAATCTGAAATTCAAGGAGCCATTCTATGTAGCAATGAGCTTGGTTTGCAGCTCAGAATCAGAAGTGGTGGCCATGATTATGAAGGGCTATCTTATCGTTCTAAGGTGCCCTTTATCATTGTTGACCTTGTAAACATTAGTTCAATTGAAATTGATCTTGCTGAAGAAACAGCTTGGGTTCAAGCTGGGGTAACACTAGGTGAACTTTACTATAAAATTTCCAAAACAAGTCCAATCCATGGATTCAATGCAGGAATCTGTCCAAGTGTAGGATTGGGTGGACACATAAGTGGAGGAGGGTTTGGTACCATGGTGAGGAAGCATGGCCTAGCAGCAGACAAAGTTGTTGATGCTTACCTAATAGATGTAAATGGTAAGATTCTTGATAGAAAATCAATGGGAGAAGATGTTTTTTGGGCCATTAGAGGAGGTGGTGCTACTAGTTTTGGAGTCATTCTTGCATGGAAGATTAGGTTGGTTAGAGTTCCACCTATTGTTACTGGATTCACCAAGCAGATAACAGTGGAGGAAGGAGCCACCAAGATCATTCATAGGTGGCAATACATAGCACATAAATTGCATGAAGATCTTTTCATTAGAGTACTTGCTCAAAATAATGGTGACAATTTGACAACACTTGAAGCATCCTTTGTTTCTCTCTTCCTTGGTGGAAAAGACAAGTTAATCCCAATAATGAATGAGAGCTTCCCAGAATTGGGATTGGAGGATAAAGATTGCATTGAAATGAGTTGGATTCAATCTGCTCTTTATTTTGCTGGATACAACAAATCGGACCCTCCAGAACTCTTGCTCAACAGAACTACCACATACAAAAGCTCTTTCAAGGCCAAGTCTGATTTTGTAAAGGAGCCTATACCAGAAGTTGCTCTAGATGGGGTTTGGAAAATGATTCAAGAAGAAGATACTAATGCAATAGTGATAATGGAACCCTTTGGTGGTAGAATGAATAAAATTTCAGAATCTGAAATCCCTTTTCCCCACAGAAAGGGAAACTTGTTTAACATACAATACTTGGTCAAGTGGGAAGTGAATAGCATTGAAGCAACCAATAGGCATCTTCACTGGATGAAAATGCTTTATAGATACATGACTCCATATGTTTCAAAATCTCCAAGAGCTGCTTATTGCAACTATAGGGATCTTGATTTAGGTAGCAACAAGCATGACAACACAAGCTACTCAAAAGCAAGTGTTTGGGGCAAGAAGTACTATAAGGGAAACTTCAGGAGATTGGCACAAATTAAGACAAAGTTTGATCCCCAAAACTTTTTCAGGAATGAACAGAGTATTCCTCTCCTGAATTCCCTTCCTTCTTCACATAGGGTAAGCCATATTTAGGAGCAACTAGAACATTTGTGTGGTACTTCAATATGGTTGTTATATGTGGTTAGGCAATTTAGCATCTATTATGTTAGTCTTCTGCTTTATGTGTTTGTAATAAACCCAACCCTGAATATGATGTATTTTCATAAAGGTTGTGGACTCAACATGAAGTTACAAGATTCTATAAAAATGTACCCTTTAAATTGCCAATTGTGTTGCTGTAATTACCCTTCTTAAGACTGTCTTTTAATTTCATGTTATAATTTTTGAAGCATTTATTCAAGGAGATAAGACATTATACTTATATTTTATTTATTTTTCTCCAATACCGTTTTGACCACAATCTCTACCAACAATGGAGGATAGAAAATGAGTGAGAATTTATTGAGATTGTGATCTAACGATATAGAAAAAAAAAGATAAAATAAATATAAAAAAAAAAAGGTAGGCATAATATTCTATTCTTTATTTAAGATATATATTGCTAAAAAATAAATTTGACCTACGTTTTTTGAATGATATTTTAATGTTAACAAGCAAAAGTCATGACAGAGCTTATTATAAAAATATCACATATAACAAGAAGTTTTCAGGAACCCCACTTTTGAAAATCATGAAACTAACTTAGTAAAATCAAGAATTTGATTTAATAATAAATGTATTTTATTTGGTGTGCCAACTGGCAAGGGTGTTGAAAGGCTACCAACATTGTTGGATCCTCGTGTACGACAACGAATACATCTTCAAAAATCAAAATCGCATGCCAATTCGTTGCTTAATTTATTCATCATACCTGTTCTTCATTTCTTAGTAGAGTTTGAGAAGGGTGTTTAATTTATTTCCTTCGTGTAAAGTGTGATGTGTCCAGCAAATTTGCTGTGTCACACATATTAAAATTCTAATATTAAACGATTGATTCATTATCATTTTATCCCTTTTTAAAAATAATTTATCATTTCGCTTCCCTTTCCAAACTATACATTAATGTGTCTTTATTTGATTAAAATTTGACCGATACCAACACCAATTTAAATTATTTACTCAAGTAAATATCAGTTAAACTTTGGTTAAATAGAGATAAATTAAAATTAATATATAATTTGGGAAATGTGACAAAACTAGGGATGTAAATAAGCTAAGTGGGCTTACAGGGACCTACGACCTAGTTTATATTATGTTAGGCTTGTCCTATTATAAATAGTCAAATAGAATAGGTCTAAGCTTTTAAAAAAATCTATTTAAAAAGCAAATCATAGGTTTTTTTTGTATATGTCGGACCTATAAGTCTATAGGACGGTTTATATCATATTATTTATTTTAAATAAAATAAATAAAATTATTATTTTAATAATTTTGGATAATAAAGTAATATTATTTTAATTAATATTTTTAATTATTGAATGTTTAATAGGCTTAAACAGGCTAATAAGCTTAGCCAAAACTTTTATTTTTTAAATATAGACCAAACCAAACTTGTAATTTAAGACTATGCAGGTTAACATAACAGGTCAAGCCAAAACTAAGGCTTTTTATAAAGACTGACTTATTTAAGCTTAGCTTATTTACACCCCTAGACAAAATGATAAAAAAATTTAAAAGAAATGCAAAATGATCAATCAATCAACATTAAACATCTTACACCCAAATTCATCTTACATTTGCTTCCAAGGTGCTTGGATACTTAAAATGTTCATGTAGTAAATGCCTCCAACATTATTGTTAGCTTTCTATCGCTATCAAATAAAAGTTTAGGTGAAATAGGGAAATAAGAAGCTGAATTAGAAAATAAGAAAGCTTATGACAATGCTTCAGCATGTTTTTGTATATGGTTTAAGGATTTTATAATTATCATTCAACACGAGAATTGAAATTTTCCTATACACCCTTCGATCTTCGTGTTGACGTGGGTCCTACACATAATTTTTTCTAACATATGAGTCTCACATGTTTTTTATCTCTACAACATAAGATTTCAATTCTCATGTAGCTCGAGAATTATAAAACCCATGGTTTAATGACCCTAAGATATCTTGATTCTGAAGCAGCATAAGGTGAGTATCCTTACAAGCCCGGAAATGAGTGAAAGTAATGGTAATACGTGTAAAACTTATAATCAATCATAATGCATAGCTTCTCATGTGCTAAGACTACCATATAACTAATGAATTGTAGACTTATAATTAAGGGGTATAAATTGAATGAAACATCCTTGATTTTAGAGTAACTAAGATAAACTGAATTGTTACAATAAGTTTTGCAAAATCATTCATCACAATTTGCACCAGAATTGTCACAAAACTACCTATCATAGCTATCAGTTTTCCCAAGGGGAAATTTTCTGTAGAATGACAAAGAAAATCAACTATAACAAGAACCAAAGATGAAAAAACATATGAAATGACAGTCAAAGAATTCCATATAAAAGAGTCTATTGAGGAGTTGAATTATTGGATTTGTATTCCAACATTTCAGCCCTGTATCTTTCCTTATCTCTCAGCCCTTTCTCCTGATAAACCTGCATTAAATTCACAAAAAATTGCATGAGAAAGTCTTGGAGATAAATAACCCCAGAATATAATTTCAAACAAATAAGGGTAGTTTCATGTCTTTGTTCCATTTTTGGCAAGCAAATGCATTTTGATTCTATAGTTATCATACAAATTTTTCTTTTAACAAGTTAAATTTTATATTATGAAAAATGCGAAAAGCCATTATTACTACAACAAATTTAGCCCTTATTATAATTATAGCTTTCTTAATGCAATGTTAGCCCAGATAGATGAAGGGAAAAGAAGGAAAATGATCCATGTGACTAGAAAATAAACAAATAGCCTTTCCATTTCTTTCCCTTCATCTTCATTAGGAATGTCAGAGAACAATATTTGAAGTTACAAAAAGAAAAAGGAATCAGCAGTAAAACAAAAGCACAAACCCCTCATCAATGGTAAAAAGATTGCATGTATACCTGTCTTTCTGCTTCAGTGAGATTGCTCCACAGAAACCCAATCCTCTTACTAATTGCTCTCTCTTGCCCATAAAATGAGGGCTTTAGCCTGGCATAATTCTCAGCAAAGAAGAAATTGTAGCCACTCCTGTTTGACTTCGGCCGAGATGGATCGCGTAATGCCAATCTTGATCTCTTGCGATTCCGCGAACTAGACATGCCTTCAGCATAAGAACTCTGGGACACATTGTTAGGAACATGATACAGAATACCTTTCAGCTGTTCAGAACCCAGACTCACTGTAACTACATATCCACCATCAAATTTGCCATCAATTGTTCCCGGTACCACAGAACCATGCAGCTGCACCGGACTAGCTGCATATAAGAAAGAAAATCCTTATCACAGCTATACATGAAAAGTATATCCACTTGCCCACATTGATTAGATGAACATAAAGCTAAAAAGCAATGTCAAGTGAAAATTAAAGAAACAAATCATCTGAGAATGATAATTTGTTTCATTACTTAACAGTTTTAAAAGAACAGAAGCAGATATTTACTAACATTATTCACAAGGAAAAGGGGGAAAAAAATCTAAGATCATATTCTGTAGTTCTATTTTCATATCACATTAAAATATTTCATAGATAAGTGCTTGTTAGTATTATCTTCAGCTTGCTTATTGTTTCCAACAAAAGTTATAGCCTAAATCCTGAGGGATGTATGGTCAATAAGAACAAGGTATCGCTTTTCAGTCACGTAATCTGTTAGAATATTAGGATTATTAGGATTATTGTCAGTGAGCTTGGGCTTGTACTAGTACTATGATAAGAACCTTCTACTCAAATACAGAAATAACACAAAGAACAAGGACTTTGGCCTGAATAATCAGATTTTCATATATTCATCAAGAGATAAGTACAATCCGGAAACAGAGACAATTACAAAGAAAGGAGAAAATTACAATGAATTGGAAATGCACTAACAGAAAAGGAAATAACAGTAAAGGAGAATTCTAGAAGAATTCAAGAGCCCCTAGTCTCTCTCAAATCACCGTAAGGAGCCCAAGGTTCCAAATGTCCAAAGATGGTCCAACAATACTACTCCACTCCCATATAACCGTATCCTTTTGCTCACTAACACAATCCACACTTACTGTTTGTAACAGAAATGTGACTCACCCTTGTGCTGAGTCAGCAAGTAGCTGATCTCCTGAATCCTTGTCTACTATACACCCTTATATTAGAAAAGATCGTATCAATACTCTCCCTCATACAATCACCTTGTCCTTAAGGTGAGCGCAGATGACTACAATATTACCTATGGGATCCCATTGCTTGAATTGTAAAACCCCAAATTTGCAACCAACTAAATAGTTCATGCATGCAGCTATACAGCTCCTATCAGGATCCCATTGCTCATCTTCCATTTCCATTACCGACACAATAATTTTTTTTGTGTAATCTAGAACAGCACTATAAAACAAATCAGACAAATTAACATCACCAAGGCTAAGGAATGCCCCATTCTCTTCACTGCAAAAGCCTTTGGCGTCCAAGATGTTTGCAATGAATTGGACCTTCAGACCAATATCAATGCTCTCTCTTTGGGCCATAATGAGTTCTTGGTTGGTTTCATTCAATGCTAAATTTGCAATAGCGCCAACAACAATTGTATACATGGTCTCTTGTGAATTCTTAAGTTGTGTCCTTTGCTTCTTCAAATACGCGTCAACAGCCTTGTAAAGGTCATCATGAGCATAAAACTCAAGGAGAGCTCCTCTGTCTTGGTCAACTTCCTTTTCAAGGTTATCTTCAGAGCATACAACGATGTCGTTTGCTGAGACTGATAAGAACAACAAGTCAAAAGCGAATACTCCCAACGCTTTTCCCAACCTCCAAATCTGATACCTCTCTATCTTTTTATCCTACTTCCTTGGGGTTTGGATTCAGTTGTCTCCATCAACAAGTTCAAAAGCATCGTCTGGCATAACCAGGGGTATGGGCACGACTTCCATGCTCCATCTAAGTTCTAGATCAGTCCACCTCAACATTCCATAGCTACTCGAAACTTCTAGGGACACCTTTTGCTGGTTGGTTGAGCTGAATTCTGCTGCAAGCCACCACCACCTCAGCATTCGTCAAGCAGGTTTCGTCTTCTACCCTTGTGAAATTCAGTAGGAGCAAAATCGATAATTCTTTTCGCTGGTTGGCCGAGCTAAATGCGCATTCTACCACCTTGGTGCCAGACTTGTTTGATCTGAACATATTGCCCACCACCATGTAGCCATTCAAATTGTAGATGACAGGGTAGTCCTGGATTGTTGGACACCAACCCAGCATTTTGGGTCTAGTAAGTTTAGAATAAACTATGGGCTTGCAAGCCCATTCTTCACACCCAACAATAATTAGTTGCGATTGGAACCATTCAACTATTTGAGCCTGACCCAAGTTAACCCAATGACCTAATCCCCTTAATTCCATCTCCTTGTCTCTTGCGATGCTTTTGATGTGAGATTGAGGTATCACAACCCTCTCTGTCATCATCACAGCCCCCAAGATTCCAATGGCCGCCGTACAAGCACTTTGGTTCAACGGGTCTAGTGGTGGAGGCTCGTCTGGCTTCTTCGAAATCCTAAATTCCCCCTTCATCACAATCTCTTATTTTAACTCTTTCTGATCTCCTCTTCTTCAAACAATTGTGTTTTGCTTTGTATATCTGAAAAATCTCCAGTCGTAGGCACATCTTCCATAACTTCTTTTTTAATTTCATTTTCTTTCATGAACTCTATTCTATCATCTCTACACTGCCATAGGATTTCATGGGAGTAACTTCCAAGGTCATCCTGGAGATAACTTTAGGTGTTGTTGCTACCTTTCCTCCGACATTCCCCGTCACAAGTTGCTTTATATCCTCCTTTAACGCGAAGCTTCCTTCCATGTCCGCTTCTGAATTCAAAAGTCTCCTCTATTCATCTTCATCGCAAAGATATAAATCTAGGTCGTATTCTGGTTGAAATTCTTTAAGCATGGCCTTGGAGAAATCCCACCAACTCGCCTTCAGATTTGACCCCCTCCAGTAAAGGTACTAGATGCGATCATATCCCTTCAGTCCTTTCGCAGCTTCTGAAATTTTCTTAGCTTCAGGTGTTCCTTTCACCATGAAATATTGCTCCACCTGAATCTGCCATCCATAGGCTTCCACTCCATCAAACACTGGAATCATCTTGAAATCGGATACCAAAAGCTCCCGGATCGAGAGCTCTAATACCAATTGATAAGGACTTTCTACTCAAATACAAAGAACAAGGACTTTGGCCTGAATAATTAGATTTTCATATATTCATCAAGAGATAAGCACAATCCGGAAACAAAGATAATTACAAAGAAAGGAGAAAATTACAATGAACTGGAAATGCACTAACAGAAAAGGAAATAATAGTAAAGAATAATTCTAGAGGAATTCTAAAGCCCCTAGTCTCTCCCAAATCACCCTAAGGTGCCCAAGGTTCCAAATGCCCAAAGATGGTCCAACAATACTACCCCACTCCCATATAACCGTATCCTTTTGCTCACTAACACAATCCATGCTTACTGTTTGTAACAGAAATGTGATTCACCCATGTGCTGAGTCAGCACTAACAGACTTTGAGTAGCTGATCCCATGAATCCTTGTCTACTGTACACCCTCATATTAGAAAGGATTGTATCATACTACTAGTACCTGACTTAACTCCTAGTATAAATATGAACATTAGGTTAGGGTATTGTATAATATCTAATATTAAGCAAGGTGTCTATATGCATTGTAAAATTTGCAAGAAAATCTCCAAACCTAGCAGTGCTCACCAACCAGCAAATCGTAGCCTCATCCTAATTGACCTATGGGCACCCTATTTAGACCAAGTTTCAATAGTATGCCGGTGTCCATTTTAAGCTAAGATTTCCAGACTCAGATATTACAACTGTATATGGTTATGATTTCATTTGATTAAGGTTCATGTTTTCAAACATTGAACAATCAAGTTCAAATGGGGGTGAGCTTAAAGTAATGCACATGAAGCTAACCATCAAAAGTCCATAAATGAGAATCAAAGCTAAAATGAGTTTCTGAATGAACTATGCATACACGAATGGAAAGGACATGAATATAGTAATACTAAAGAAACAGAATAGAATATGGAGGATACTTTCTTTCTTGTAAATCCAATAGATAACAGAAAAGGATGTGGGAAAGAATGCCAGTTTGGAAGTATAGAGAAAAAAGGGCAAGTTTCCTTTGACACTTTGCAATATTTCCCCACATGAGCTGATCTCTTACAATTTTTAATGGTTTAAATGGAAGTTAATATATAAATAAATGAAAGTTTTCTCTTTTTCCCCTTCCATCCTCTCACAGATTAAAAAGAAAAAAAAAATCATAAGCAAGAGAGAATAAACAAAATGCTTTGTCCTCTTGACTTTTATTTTTTATCTCGTAAGTCATCTAAACAAGACATCCAATGGTTCTCTTTTCTCATCCAGCTCATTCCAATTTGTTCCACCCAACAATCCAATACTTGAATCTATCCAAGAAAGTAATATATTGTCAATATATATCTTCCAAAATCTTGAAGTTTAGAGAGTAAACTAGATATGATTGAAATTGTGGGTCAATAACAATCCACACATGGTCTCTATATATATAAATGTTGGTGTTAATTACAATAATTCTATCCCAGATACATATCATCCTAATTGATTCTACAGTATATACATGATATCACCTAAGATATTCTAACACCAACACTCAAGTTGGTGCCTATATATGATATGCACCAAGCTTATCACATATATGGTTGGCTTGGGAACCTCGGGGAGCTTTAGTGAAGATGTATGCACATTGATCATTGGAATGTAGGAACGCTGTTGCGATCTCCCCCAAACCGAATCTTCTCTTGAACAAAGTGGCAATCAATGTCAATGTGTAGTGCAGCCTGACTATCACATGAGTTTCATTGGTTGTAGTGCACAAATGTTCCATTCTTTGAACAACTACTTTAACCAAATAAGTTCACAACTCATAGTTCTCATTACTCGATACTCAGTTTTATATTATATTTTTATATTATATTTCTCTAACACACTTGATCTAGCAACCACATTATTTCTTGTTTTTCCATAAAACCAAGTTTCCTCCAAAAAGAACATAGTAACCAGAAGTAGAGCGTCTAAATGAAGGAAAATCTACCTAATCAGCATATGTATAATTACAAATTTCCATATGCCCCTAATCTTCATATATTAAGCCTCTCTATGGTGCTCCTTTGATGTATCGCACTATTCCCTAGCATCCTAATGAGAGTCTCACAGTGAGTCAAGAAATTGGTTTACAACGCTCACAAAAAAAGAAATATCTAGTCTTGTTATTGTGAAGTAATTTAGTTTCCCAACTAAACTTTGATAATGACCAAGATCTAACAACGACTTCCCCTGTCCTCGTAGAAGCTTCACTATGAGTCATGTCGAAGACTTGAACAATGGCACTAAAGCAGCCAAACTAATGCTCGAGATGACTGTTTCGAACCATATAGCAATTTGCGGAGTTTGCACACTAATGCAAGGAACACCAACCAAAATGCCACTGTTCACCAAGTTTTTTACCTAAATGTCACGCGAACAGTGTTATTTCCCAATATCCCACGTGGGCAAGTTCGCTGGGCACTATAGCGAACTCAGTTTGCTGACGTGTCACGTTTCTAGTGAATAACAAGTACCAAGTTAAAAAAAAAAAAGTACCAAGTTCGCTACATTGGGTAGCGAACTTGGTTGGAATATGTATTTCAACCAAGTTTGCTACCCCGTGTAGTGAACTTGGTGTCCACTAAAAATGTGACACGTCAGCAAACGAGTTCGCTACAGTGTCCAGCGAACTTGCCCACGTGGCATATTGAAAAATAACACTGTTCGCGTGGCATTTAGGTAAAAAACTTGGTGAACAGTGGCATTTTGATCACTGTTCCCTAATGAAAACCCGTCCCCCCACCCACCACAAAAGAAAAATGGATAGAGACCAACGAAGAATAGCAGCCAAGGCAAAGAAAATCGTAATAGATGCCTTTTTGGCAACCAGAGAGAATGTGTCATAGTAATCAAGGCCAAAGATTTAAGTATAACCTTTGGCGACCAAACAAGCCTTCAAGTGATCAACATAGCCATCGAAACCAACTTTAATAGTAAATACCCTTCAAATTTGACCCTTTAGCTAATAAAGGTAAACAACAAATTGCCAAGAGAAACAATGTAAGGAAAGTGTGTCAATTTAAGGTTTTGGTGGAACTTGTTTCGACAAGTGCGCTACTAGATGAAAGTCAATCAATTTTGTGAATATGTTTTCCATATTTGAGGTATTTGGGATGGCAGGGCCCATTTCCACATGCTGTAAGTTTGAGTCAATATGATACGATACGAAGGCTGAATGATAGGAATTGACATGCACCGGAACTAATCATGTATCAGAGCATGAATCTGAAACTTCTGCGATTCAGTGTCGTATCGTGAATCATATCGCAATGTGTGGTTCGAAATCCAACCCAAGATTTGCAATTTCAGATTTGAAAATTGAAACGACAATCCAATCTAATCTGATTTTCGATTCAAATTCAAAAATGAATCTAAAAGTCACTATTAATTAGGGAAACAAAGATTTGATTTGCGATTCAAATTCAAAAATGAATCTGAAAAGTCACTATTGATTGGGGGAAACAGAGACGTTGATTAGGGAAGCAGATATTCAAATTAATACAAATCTCTTCACCAAAATTTTAAAAAATTAATACAAATCTGGAAAACAGAGACCTGCGCAAGAAAACAGAGAGTCTCTTACAAAAAATTTCAAACTACTTTAACCAAAGACATGCGCAAGAAAAAATTTCTTAGAAAAACTCAGAGACATTCAGTTTCAAAAGTTCAGAAAACAAAGAACAACATACAAAACAGAGACGTTCAAACAAAGAACAATGACACTTTCATTTTTCATTATGTTTCTGAATCTTACGATTCAAGATACAAAAAAGCAGCGAAAGAAATACACAATACGTTTGCGATTCAACAACCTTGGTTTGAGTAGGTTAACGTCAAAATTGAAGCCATAGAGGGTTATTGGGTAAAGGGCGAAAAATTTAATGGGGCTACTTGATTTTTGACTAACAAAAACACACCTAAGAAGAAGAAAGTTTTTTTTTTAAAAAAAAAATATGAGGAATTATTTTAATGGCTCTCAGACCTGAATCATATTGTTTTGTTACACAAACAAAAGCAAACTACATTTAAAAAATAAATTTTCCATTTGGTCAGCTTATATATCATAAATGGTTTTTTCTTTTTTTTGGGAACAACATAAATGGTTTTACTTGAGTTGTGGTTCTTTGAAAATAAGACAAGCACAAGAAGGTCAGTTTCATAGAAGTAGGGTTGCGCCAAGTCAGCACTCCCAAATGAAATATGTCAGAGGAAGAAGACACAAACTCTACTTTCTAGAAGCTAGAGACACTGTTTTATGTGAAAACAAATATAGATATAAATGAATATATGAAGCATCAAAGCAGTAAACAGATCTAAATGCTTTGTTAACTTACCCTGAACAGGTAAATCATTCACAGCAGCACCTTCCCTAATGGTTGTGGAGCAATTGACAAGGCTCCTATTCAAAGGTTCTGGACATATAAAATTATTGATGGTCAAAGATGAAAAAATCACAACATAATTAGAGAGGGGAAAAAGAGAATCATCTTCCCATACCAGGTGTCAAGGAAGGAGGAACTTGCTTCCGAAAGTAGTACACTTGCTCAAAGTGATAAAGCAACGATAGATAGTATCTGCGCACCATAAATGATGCACTCGTTATGGTATCCCGGAACTTGAACATTAGAATCACTTCCTTCCATTTACGATCTGCAATCACCTGCATTAGTTTAAGAAAAGCTTAGGATGATGCATTTTAGAAAAGTTGTATGAACGAGAGAAATCAAGCTAACAAAAATTTCAAGATCACTAAGCACCAACATAGATAAATTGCAAACTTAAAATCTCTACAACCAGCCTCAGATCTTTACCTTAGCTCCTAACTCAGGTCAATTGAATCATATCATGAAAGAAAGAGGGGGGAAGAGAAAACAAACATGGTTTATTGCATAAGGGGACACTCATTTTTTTGGTTTCCCGCGGTGTCCCCACCCATTTGGATGAGACTAATCCCTTTCGTGGCATAGATCGTAAAGGTTTTTACCACTGGCTCGAAGGTGCTCCGCCTAGGAATCGAACCAACGACCTTTCAGCCACAACAATTCGCTCCTTGGGCACAGCCTGCTTACCAACTGTGCCACCTATTGGGGTTCACTGATTTTTAACAACTAATAAAAGTAAAAAAAAATTCAATGCGTACCTTTTCAAGACCACCACGAGATGTTACTTCTATGAAAAGACGATAAAGATCTAGTGGTTTTCCTCCTATAGTAGGAACCCTACATAAATAAAAAGAGAAAAGTAATGCCAATTTTAGTTCTATCAATTTTTTGATTATCTATACTTCATACCAAACTCCATATACACCTAAAAGAAAATAGATAAGAGAAAAGAATAGGTATAGAATAAAATCAATCGAAAGGAAGGTAAACTTCTTAAAGCAAACTAATCTTTAAAAGTAAATCTTAGACAAAATCAACCACAATTTGTCCAATAGCCTTAGTTAAAATGGTACTAAGTCCTTTGGCAACTTATTGATCCGGGTTCGATTCCTAGCCAAATCAATTTCCCTGTAGTTTAGCCTATAATCCCTCCCCACACCTTGTCATAAACCTCCTTTATAACCTAAAATAATTAAATCAACCGTGTTTTCATTTTACAAAGTTGCATGGAAACGTTTAATCTTTACAAAGGTCAAACTAGATCAAAATACTCACTTAATTAACAAACTGCTTATCACAAGAAAAAAAAAAGAAGGTAGAATCAAGACAATATTTACACGGAAATAAATAAGGACACAGATGAACCTTTCATGTTACAATTCAGCATTTTAAAATTATCTTTGCAGTATTCAGAATGTATCCGAGATTGGTTCCTATCAACTTAATTTTCCTGGATTAACATCATGACCCTCCATTTTTCTCACCATTCATTGTAATCTCTGAAAATCTTCTAAATATAATATTTATCTAAATATAATATTTATCTCCATCCAAAGAGCTACTGCAATACCCTTCTTCCCTAATTTGTTCACAGATAATAAGAATAAGAAGAACTTCAATATTAAGCACCTAAATCATCATAACTGGGCATGTGGGAAAACACCAAAAGCACAGAAATTTACATCTTATATGAACAAAATTAACCAAACCCCACAAAAACAAAAACAACAATTAACACTAAAAAGAAGGCAACTGAAGAAAAATAAAATAAAATTAGATCAATGAACAAGTTATGGTGGAAAAAGGGTATTTTTTAATTTAATAAAAAAAAAATGCACTTACTTAAATTTGGTGCCATATGAATTGTGAAAAGATTGAAGCTTTTCCCAGAAGAGGTTTGCATCACGAGTAAGGTCTTGGTAGAGAGCCGTTGGAGGAGGATAAGGGCTGTCTGTGACTGTGACTGTGACTAAGGATCTTCCATTTTCATTTTCATTTTCATTTGTTCTCTCACTGTGATTCTGATTCTGAAAACTCTGAAGCTCTTTCTGTTTGATATTTGTCATTTTTATTTCTTTCCTATTCCAAATCTATGCTATGCATTCTCTCACTGTGATTCGCTTTTAGATTATTCTTAAACCATAGGTTACAACAAAACAATCTTTATATACCGCATTCATATATTTATTCTATTTTAATATGATATCAATTAAATATATTCTAATCTCTATAACCAAAGAAGTATAATATATATGATATAAATAATATATAATATGCACGAATATGCATTTAATTGGCCTTGCAAGGTAACACCCTTGATTTATTCTTTCCTATCATAAATCGCACCGCTTTTTAATTTGTGTTTTACTTTTTTTCTTATTTGTTATACAAACTTTTTTTTTTTTTTGATAACATGTTATACAAACTTTATGATATATATTTATGGGTTTGATGTTTGTCATTTTAAATGACATAAGTTATATCATAGACACAAGAAATGAAGATCATGAAGGGAGAAAGTGGATGGTTATTTTGTAATTTAAATTTAAAAATATATATATTATTTTGTATCTATCTCTCTCTTAAAATGACATAATTTTATGTCATTTAAAATGACAAATACTTTTCTCTATATTTATCTATTATAAATTGAATTAGAGTATATTTTATTGAAAATATTTTAATTTTTTAGTCTATTCTTTTTTTTAAAATAATACATGTTATTTTAAAAAAAATTAAGTTTAAATTCTTTAGAATTGATTAGGCATATCTTTCTTAAAATTTTAAATATTTTTTCTTATAATCTATACTTTTAAGATTTTATTTTAATTAATTGTGCAAATATCATTTTACTTGAATTCAAAAATGCATGTTCATTGCACGAAATAGTTGTTAAATTATTTGAAAAAAAAAAAAGCTCAAAGGTGAGATTTATTAATAGGTTGGTTTTTTTTAAAGTTATTGTAGACAATTTTGTCTAATATTTACCAAAAACAACTTCGTTTTGGAGCGATAATTATTGTGTATTTATAATTTTAATTTATTTTAGGAGTATAATAATATTTATTATTCTAATTTTTTAATTTTTAAATCTCAAAACGATGTCATTTCGTTGAACATTAGATAAAATTGTTTAAAGTAATAATAGATATATTTTTTTCTTTATTAATATATAAAGGGGAAAAGGTGTGCCATTTGAAATGACACACCTTGTGTAATCTCACTCTCACAAAAAGATCGAACCCATATATTTAAAAAATTTCTCACTCACTCTCTTCCTATGATTTGTCTATTTTTCTCACTTAAAATGACACAACTTTGTATCCTTCAAAATGATACATATTTTTTCCATATATAAATATATATAGATTACCAAAAAATATATAAATATATATACGCGTGTCGGGTTTATCACCGAAATTCATTTGAATAATTAAAAAAAAAAAACAAAATACAGACATACACAACTGAATTTAGACATTTTTCATACAAAAAATCTGAATAAATATCAATTAAGGACACTAATTAGGGTGTCTTCCCTTTATTTTCTATAATTAATAAATAAAGACATTTAAATTTTTTTTTCAAAATTAATGCATTTGACAAGAATTGTTCACCAAATGGATGCTGAATTAAATGATTTAATACTAAATGCATTTAATATTTATACTAAATGATGAATGCTACACTTATTGATAAAAATATATTATATTAAAAAATTCTATAAATTAAAGAAAAAAATACTAATTGAACCCAACTTGGAAAAAATTGATATTATCTAATTAAAAATTATGAATAAAGAATACAATATTTTTAGCAAAAAAAATTAAATAAAAAACTTAATAATTGGAAAATCAATTAAAGCTAATATATAATAATATAATAATGATAATATGATCAAAAAATAAATACCTCCATTAACGAGAATTGATTTGATTAATTACAAAATATTTATACTTTAATTTGGAGAAAATCATGAATTAACCCTTCCCAATTACGAAATTAAATAAATAATAAAAGTATAATATAATAAAAAACAATTTAGGATATACTTTTATTTTTCCATTTATATATGATAATGCTACATGAATCTTTTGATTCCGGTACAAGATTAAAAAGTCTTACTCTCCATCTTTGTTGTTGATATTCATCTATTTAACGATTATAGTTAATGAGTTATACCAATTAATTATCTATTTATTTCATATAAAATATAACCATTAAATAATAGGAAATCAAAAACTGAGATAGAAAGTGTTCTGTCTAAAAGACAGAGATGTCCAGCCGTTGGCTAGTATATTTTATGTAGGATTTAAGTGCCCTCTCTCATGTATCTATGAATGAGATACCCTTGAGGGTAGGCTGATCACTGTGCACAATAACAATCGAGATAGTCAAGGTGTGAGGTGTGTGCACAGTGACAAACTAAGAGAGAGGATTTTGAGAGTGTGTGTACCTTATTAGTGTAACCCCTTATTTATAGATGGGTTACCTGAAGGAGTGTACTTCTGGGCCTTTTAGGAATATTGGGGGCCCAAGTCCAACTGTTTAGCTGTCTGGATAGGATCGTCATCAATAAGAGATTCCCTTCCTTTTGTGATGTCCTTTATTGGTCCTTCTAGAATATGGGCATTTGTCAGGTCCATAACAGTTGCCCCCCAGCCCGGTAGTTTGGTTGTCCATGCTGTCGGGATGTAATAGCAGTAATCTCTTCATTTTATTCCGAAAGTCTGATTTCTTATCAAAACTCGGATGTGTTGCTTTCTTAGCAATAATTTTGATTTCTTCGCAAGAACATGAGAATCTAAGGGCGTCCCCCTATCTTCCAAGATTATTTACCTTGGCTAGAACTCACGTTCTTACTATTTTTGCAAGACGGGTTCAAATACCTCAGTTTTGACCGGGCTAGAACTCGCAACCTTACCCATAGGCAAGAGGGTTCAAATACCTCGACGTTGTAGGCCGGGCTAGAACTCGCAACCTTACCCGTAGGCAAGAGGGTTCAAATACCTCGACGTTGTTGGCCGGGCTAGAACTCGCAACCTTACCCGTAGGCAAGAGGGTTCAAATACCTCGACCTTTGGATATTCAACTCAGCTTCTTGCCAGAGTTTCATTTATCCCAGATTTTTATCCTGGGTCTTTATCGCGAGTTGGGGTGTTGTTATGGACCAGAATGAGGCCCATGATCAGCACAGGCCCACAAGTAAGCATTATAAATAGGAGCTAAAAGCTACAGGTATGATCTAATCTCTTTTTACCTATTTACACAGCCTAGATAGTACACACACATTACCTCTCCCAAGGCTAAGGCCATCAGATAGTGTGTGATTTGTTGTCCCCAAGATATCTAACTCATAGGTATCTAAAGAAGGCACCTGAATCATAGATCAATCATCCAATCCTGATTGGACACATCTGCCTTAGGCAGAACATTGGCGCCGTCTGTGGGAAACTTTTTCCACGCCAAACGTTGTGAAAGTCAACAAAATCGATGGTGAGAACAACAAGGAGTGGTCTTCATCAACCTTCGACAAACCTCCAAGTTCCTCCTCCTGTTAGGGAAGATCCCGCGGAATCAAGGCAGCAGATGCCGCAGATCCCAGGTCTAGATGCGGTGCACGTTAGTGACGTGCATTCAGATTCAGCATCAACTCCCGCGGTCAACCCAGATGCCCCATACCTCCCAGGGTTGCAGCCAATTGAGGACCCAACTGCAGAAGTCCCGGATTCGCGGTGACAAGTTTAGCTATGGCAGCCGTACTTCGAAGGATGAAGGAATTGGAACAGCGTAATGAGCTGCAACGGCAAGCGGATACAAGACAGATCCGAGATTTGGAGGATCGGCTGTGGCGCGTAACAAATCCAGACCCCGAGCGGGCCATTGCGCAGGTGGTGACAGATCTGCAAATTGCAAACCCCCAGCAGGACACTCAGGAACGCACCAACCGTCCTGCAAGGGCTAATGCCGGACCCGGGTTCGCGACAACAGCCACGGCACCCTCTGGGCCACAGAAACGACGGATACAATCAGCAACCCCAGCATGTACCAGATCCACAGCGCCCGGCCGAGATCCACCGTCAGGGGCCCATCACCCGGGCTCCGGATGACGTAACCGGGGTATACTGAAGAAAGTACAACAGGGGGAAGTACAACGACAGTCCCTTCGCGGATGAGATTGTAGAAGCTCCATACCCGGAAAATCTGAATTTACCCGAGTTGATTAAATATGACGGAACACAGGATCCACAGGTGCATTTGGATGCCTTTGATACAGCTATGTACATCAAAGGGATAGAGGAACCCTTGATTACAAGGCTTTTTGCAACTACATTAACCGGTGCAGCCCAGGCGTGGTTCTCGTCATTACCAGCGGGATCCATCAGATCCTTTGACGAGTTTGGGGAGCGGTTCATGCTGAACTTCGCCACCAGTAAGAAGCAGCCGAAGTCAGAATTCGCGTTGGGGATAATTAAGCAACAACCAGGGGAGACACTACAAAAGTACCTGGATCGGTTCAAGTTAGCCGCGCTTCAAGTACCCGGATTACCAGAAAACGTTCATTTACATCTGGTGATAGCCTGATTGAACGGAACATCCCGGTTGGTTAAGTCAATATATAAGGATCCACCTCGGACCTTAGTTGAGTTCAACACTCGCTCCAAAAAATACCTGGAGCTCGAGCAGATGGAGTGGGAAAATGTGGACCAAAGGCAACAACCTGGTCAGGGAGACAAGCTCGGAGGCCGACGGATGAATGACCTTCGAGGAAAACGGCAGGATGATAGGCAGCAGGCCAGGGGAAGGTTTGATAAATATGCCCCCCTGAACTCTCCTCGGTCGCAAATATGGCGCGAGGTCGCGTCCACTGACATGAAGAAAGTCGAACGACCTCGGCCTCTACAGAACCCGGCTGGGTTAGATCGGACCCGGTATTGCGCATTTCACGATGGGCCGGGTTATACAACAGATGAGTGTTGGGACCTCAGAGATGCAATTGAGAAGTACATTAGAGAGGGAAAGTTGCGGCAGTATTTGATCCGTACGCAGGGATGGAGAAATAGGAAGAGGAGAGGGGGGCGGCTCGGAAGCCCACCCAAGGATAAGAAGTTTAAAGAGGAAGGACGAGGTAAGAATCCGGCTAAAGAAGATGACGAATTCCAGGAGCCGGAGTTCGAGTGCAACGCGATCAGTGCAGCTTTTGGTGGTGGTGGCGACACAATGAATGCCCGACATAAATATTTGCATGAGGTGTTTTCCATTCGAGATCGCCCCAAGTTTAAACAGGAAGAGAAACCAGAGCAGCCGTTGTTATACTTCACAAAGAAGGAGCTCGAGGATGTAGTACCAGGCCATGTTGATGGGTTGGTGATTACAGGAACACTGGTCAATTGCAGAGTTAGGAAGATTTTTCTGGACAATGAGAGTTGTGCCGATATAATTTTATGGCACGCATTTCAGAAGATGAATTTGGACGAAGAAGATTTGAAAACTTGCAACACGGCTTTAATTGCGTTTAATGGCTGCAACACTACTCCTAAGGGGTATATTGATCTCCAATTAACATTGGGGACGAAGGAGGCGTACAAATCCGAAAGGATAAGGTTCATTGTAGCCGACTTCCCATCCGAACACAATGTGATTTTGGGAAGACCTACAATTCATGAGTGGGACATGCTAGTCTCAACCAAGCATCAAAAGTTAAAGATGATTGGTAAGCAGGGTTCGGTGCTCACCATAGCTGGGGACCAGAAGGAGTCTCGAGATTGTTACTTCAGATCTGTACGTGTGGTGGACCGAGATCCCGAAGACGTAGCTATGATTAAGCAGAGTGGTTACCAATCTTTGAAGATGAGCTCAGTTAATATGGTGGAATTGGATATGAGGGATGAAACTCAGATGCCAAGGCCGGAACCTGACGGAGAGCTAGAAGAGGTAACCGTGGAGCACCAGGACAAACAACAAAGATAGGAAAGGGGTTGACGGATGAGGAAAAAACCCAGCTGGCTTCCTGTTTGAGGAGTTATAATGACGTCTTTGCTTGGAAATCTTCAGATATTCCAAGGGTGGATCCAGAATTTTGCTGTCACAGGTTATCTGTTTATCCCGGCTCAAAGCCAGTGGCACAGAAGAAGAGGAAGTTAAGCTCAGAGCGTCAACAGGTGCTAGAGGATCACGTGAAAGAACTACTAGAGGCTGGATTCATCAGGGAAATACAATACACAACCTGGTTGTCCAATGTAGTCATGGTGAAGAAGCCAAATGGAAAGTATAGGGTATGCACAGATTACACTGACTTAAATAAGGTGTGCCCTAAGGATGCGTACCCAATGCCCAACATCGACCAGTTGGTTGATAGTTCCTCCGGGTTCCGAATGCTATCCTTCATGGACGCTTATTCGGGATATAACCAAATTCCACTGCACCTTGAAGATCAGGAGAAAACTGCTTTCATCGCAGAAAAGGCAAATTATTGTTATAATGTGATGCCTTTTGGGCTGAAAAATTCGGGAGCCACATATCAACGAATGATGAACCAAGTATTCTCTGATCAACTGGGCAGGAACGTTGAGGTATACATTGATGACATGATAGTGAAGTCGGTTGATATGCCAGTACACGTTCGTGATTTAAAGCAGACCTTTGATAAGCTCAGGCAACATCGTATCAGGTTAAACCCGGCGAAGTGTGCCTTTGGGGTTTTCGCAGGGAAGTTCCTCGGCTTTATGCTCACGCATAGAGGGATAGAAGCGAATCCTGATAAGTGTGGGGCCGTTCTAAGTATGGCGGCGCCAACAAGTAAGAAGGAGATACAGCAGTTAACAGGAAGGTTGGCCTCCCTGACGCGGTTCCTACCCCGGTCGGCGAAGACAACCCTTCCCTTCTTTAAGCTGCTGAGGAAAGAAGCTCAGTACGGTTGGACCTCGGAATGTGAAGCTGCGTTCCAGGAGATCAAGAGGCAACTTTCTTCTCCTCCGGTGCTAGCAAAGCCAAGGAAGTCAGAAAATTTAATTTTGTACCTATCCGTTGGAGATGTGGCAGTGAGTTCGGTTTTGGTGCAGGAGAATGAAGAGGGCCAACAACCGATATACTTCGTGAGTCGGCTCTTGCAAGGAGCCGAGCTTTGATATCAACGGCTGGAGAAGGTGGCTTTTGTTCTTCTAATCTCGGCAAGGAGGCTCCGAGCATATTTTCAAGGACACAGGATCCTGGTGCGATCCGACCTTCCAATCTGACAAATACTCCATAAGCCGGATTTGGCGGGAAGGATGATGAGTTGGGCGGTGGAGTTATCAGAATTTGACATAACTTTTGAGAGTCATAAAGAAATCAAGTCCCAGGCGTTGGCCGACTTCGTTCGCGAGCTCACTTCAATCCAAATGACAGATCCTGCTAGCCTGGATACATGGAATGTGTATGTTGATGGGTCTTCTAATGCAAAGGGAAGCGGAGCCGGGGTAATTATTGAAAACCCTGACGGCGTTGCAATTGAGTACTCTATGCAAATGGACTTCGAAACTTCCAACAACCAGGCTGAGTATGAGGCCCTCACAGCCGGACTGCTGCAGCACAAGAGCTTGGAGCTTGAAAAGTGAAGGTTTACAGTGATTCCCAATTGGTCACCTCACAAATTGAAGGAAGTTACCAGGTCAAAAGACCCCTACTGGCAAAGTATCTTGAACATGCAAGACGGATAATGGCAGACTTCGAAAAGGCAGAGGTTAGTCACATTCCAAGAAGTGAGAACAGCAGAGCGGACATACTGTCCAAGCTGGCGAGCACAAAGGGGTGGGGAAACCACCGGACCGTGATTGAGCAGAGTATCCCAGAACCGACATGCATCATGCAGATTTCCCAGGTGAATGATTGGCGTACTCCCATTATTGAGTACGTCGAAAATGGAACGTTGCCTGTTGAGAGAGCAGAGGCCAAGAAGCTAATCCGAGATACAGCGTCATACACCATAATAGAGGGACAACTTTATAAGAAAGGTATTTTCACCCCTCTATTAAAGTGTCTAAACTCGGACAGGGCCCATTATGTTCTAGCGAAAATCCATGAGGGAATCAATGGGCAACATGTTGGGGGAAAGGCGTTAGCCTGGAAGGCTCTTCGAGCTGGATACTTCTGGCCGTCCATGGTCTACGATGCGAAGGACCACGTACAGAAGTGCGATCAGTGTCAGAAGCACGGTAGGAACTTGCTGGCTCCCCCTGAGGAGTTGAATATAATCACGGCTCCCTGGCCGTTTTACAAATGGGGAATGGACCTCTTGGGTCCATTCGCAGCAGCTGAAGGCCAGCTTAAATGGTTAGTGGTGGCAGTTGACTATTTCACTAAGTGGATTGAAGCGGAGCTAGTCGCGACCATCACCTCGGCCCGGATTCAGCGATTTCTGGAGAGGAACATAGTATGTCGATTCGGGATTCCGGCCGAAGTGGTAACCGATAACGGGACTCAATTTGCAAGTAAAGGTTTTCAGAACCTGATGGAGAATTTCCACATCTGGCATCGCTTTGCCTCGGTTGAACACCCTCAAACAAATGGCCAAGCAGAGGCTGCAAACAAAGTCATCGTGGAAGATCTTCGAATGCGTATAGAGAAGTCCGCCAAAGGAAGGTGGGTTGAGGAGTTATATTATGTCTTGTGGGGGTACAGGACCACAATTCAGACTTCTGTTGGAGAATCCCCATTCAAGCTAACCTACGGGTGCGAGGCTATGATCCCGGTAGAATTGGGAGAACCATCTTGGAGAAGGGTTCAAGCCTTGTCGCAAGCAGAAGAAGAGAACAGCAGCAAAATAGCTGTAGAACTGGATCTGATAGACGAAGGTCGGGTCATGGCACATTGCAAAAATGTTAGCGCCAAGCAGCTCATGGCTAATAGGTTCAATAAGAAGGTGAAGCCCAGGACGTTTGAGACAAAGGACTTGGTGCTCCGAAGAGCAGATGTCGGAGGACGAAACACAACTGATGGAAAGTTGGCTCCAAGATGGGAAGGCCCGTTCAGAGTAAAAGAAAAACTTTCCAGAGGAGCCTACGTTTTGGAAACCCTGCAGGGGAGACGCCTGACAAGAACATGGAATGCGGATAAGCTGAAAAAATATTACAGTTGAAGGAAACCTAAATGCCTTTCTTTCGTCTTTTCTTTTATTGTATTACGTAATTTGAATTATGAATAAATTTGAACAATTATGTTTCCTCTTACAATTGCGCACACATTATGAAACGACAGGACTAAAGTGTTTCTGCCATAGAGGATAAATCCGGGGTATTTGAACCTAACCCACCAAAACGGCAGGGTTGAGAGTTCTAGCCTTGCAAGGGAATCCGGGATATTTGAACTCGTCCAGTCCAAAGGCAGGATAAAGCGTTCTATTCCCGTAAGGGAATCCGGAGAAATTGAACCCGTCCTGCCCAAATGGTGGGATTGAGTGTTCTAGCCACGGAAATAGACACGAGGTATTTGAACCCGTCCAGCCCAAAGGCAGGATAAAGTGTTCTAGCCCCGTAAGAAAATCTGTCGGATTTGAACCCGTCTCACCCAAAGGGTGGGATTGAGTGTTCTAGCCACGGAAATAGACACGAGGTATTTGAACCCGTCCAGCCCAAAGACAGGATAGAGTGTTCTAGCCCCGTAAGAAAATCTGTCGGATTTGAACCCGTCTCACCCAAAGGGTGGAATTGAGCGTTCTAGTCGCGGTAACAAACTCGAGGTATTTGAACCTGCCTTGCCTCAAGCGCAGGTTAATGTTCTAGCCCCGCAGCTCGGGACGGGATATTTGAACTCGTTCTCCCAAGAAAGGATCAAAGGTGAAAGAAGGAAACGATATATAAAGAGTAGAGATACACCAAAACAGTATGTCTGAATTTACCAAATATCATCAATCAAAAACAGCGACCAACATGCGGCCCAGAATTCGTAAATGTTAATTCGAAAATCAAGATTACAAAATAACCCGGCATTCCGGGTCTTCAAGGTTGATCCGGGATATGGGGAAAAATTTCCCTCATTTCTTGCTCGAATTGCTGCGCGGCGGCTTCCATCACCGGATTCCCGGAGGGAGGTGCATCGTTGGTGGCTTCGGTCTCCGCAGCTGAAGGGAAGAACGTGTCGCCCAAGACATATCCAAAGCAATCCAGCCGGTCCGTGTCTAGGGTCGCGTCTGGATTAAAGTGCTTGATCTGATTGACGACATTGTTGAACGCAGTTTCAGCAGCGTTCTCCAGCACGGATTGACTATTGTCATAATCAGCTTGCAAATTCCTGACATCAGTCTCCAGCTTCTGGACCTGCTGATTCAATGCAGTGTTGTTCCTCTCCAACTCGGATAGTGACGACAGTTTTCCCTTGACAAAGTTTATAATGGCCTCCTTATCTGCCTCAAGGCCGAAGGAGTCCGAAATAAACTTCATGTCAGCCCGATATTGCTCCAAAGACGCCACTGAAGCAGCAGCGGATATGGTTAAGTTCTTATTATCCTCAACCAGCTTATCGCGCTCAGCCCGAAGGGTATCCCTGTCAGTTTGGAGGGCGTCCTTTTCAGCACGAAGCTCGGAATGCTTCTCCAGCAGCACCGAGTACGGCTTCACCAAAGAAGCCGCTTTGTAAGTGTACAGTTCGGCCATCTCCAGCTCTTTCACTTGGGCCCTTGACAAAATGCCGGTCCCGTGAAATTCTGGCGGGGGACTAATCACTCCACGCAACTCTGAAGCCACTCCAGTTGCCCACAGAGCGCCTCTCCTGAGCCCGTCAGGAAGGGGTGAGGGAGCCGGACTACCATGCTCCGTAGATGTCACAGCCCCGGCAACCCCAGCTGACCCTGCGGGGGCGGATGTTTGGTAATTCCCAATATCCAGCCAGCTGTCATCACTGGTTAAATCCATCACAGAGACGGCGGTTGTCGCTGGAGGAACATTGCTCGTCCCAGCAGGAGGACTAGTGGTTCGTGGTCGCTTCAGGGCATGGGA